TCCGCACTTGATTCTCGCTCCCTTTTCGTTCTATGATTTCAAGATCAAACTCTTGTAAAAGAAGTACCCACCGCATCAATCTATCCTTTGAGTCCTTTTTACTCATCAAATAACGAAGCGTCGCATGATCGGTGTGAACAATCACTTTGGTACCCATGAGGTATGGGCAGAACTTTTCCATAGTAAAGACAATGGCTAAGAGTTCTTTCTCAGTCACCGTATAGTTGACTTGGGCATCGTTCATGGTCTTACTAGCATAGTAGACCGGATGGAATATCTTGTTGATTCTTTGCCCCAATATCGCTCCTACCTCCACGTCGCTAGCATCACACATGAGCTCAAATGGTAAGCTCCAATTTGGTGCAGTAATGATGGGAGTGGTGGTCACCTTATACTTGAGTAGCTCAAATGCCTTCATACAATCATCACTGAACACAAATTTGGCATCTTTTTCCAACAACTTGCACAAGGGGTTCACCACCTTTGAGAAATCCTTTATGAACCGACAGTACCTTGCATGACCTAGAAAGCTCCTCACTCCTTTGATGGAAGTAGGAGGAGGGAGTTTTGATATCATTTCAATTTTTGCTTTATCCACTTCAATACCATTCTTGGAGATCTTGTGGTCGACGACAATGCCCTCCTCGACCATAAAGTGACACTTCTCCCAATTAAGCACCAAGTTGGTCTCTTCACAACGTGCCAATACCTTATCAAGGTTATCAAAATACTCTTCAAAAGAATCCCCCACAACAGAGAAATCATCCATGAAAACCTCGAGGAAGTCCTCCACTATATACGTGAATATTGCCACCATACACCGCTGAAAAGTAGCCGGTGCATTACATAAACCAAACGACATCCTTGAGAATGCAAATGTGCCATACAAACAAGTGAATACCCATCCAAGAAACAATAATAAGCACGTCCGGGTAGCCAATCCAACATTTGATCAAGAAATGGAAGCGAAAAATGATCTTTCCGAGTCACTTTGTTGAGCTTCCTATAATCCATGCATACTCTCCCACCGGTGAAAGTTCTTGTGGGGATCAACTCATTATTGTCATTTGTAATCAAAGTCATGCCCCTTCTTTGGGACACATTATACCGGCGAAGTCCATGAACTATCATAAATGGGGTAGACAACCCCAGCATCCAACCACTTGATGATCTCTTTCTTGTACCTCTTGCATGGCCTCGTTCAACCTTCTTTGATGTTCCACGGAGGGTTTGGAATCCTCTTCCAATATGGTTTTGTGCATGCAAAAGGCGGGGCTTATACCCTGAATGTTCGCCAATGTCAAAACTATTGCCTTCTTCCTCCTTTGGAGCACGCAAGGGTGGAATCTACCTGCACGTTAGTTAAGCACGAGGAAAGAATAACAGGTAAAGTGGAACAAGGGCCTAATAACTCATACCTGAGGTGTGAAGGCAAGGGATTCAACTCCAATGTGGGAGGCTCCTCGATTGAGGGCTTTGTTGGTGGAGTCTTCTGGTTCTCAAGGTCCAAGGACAGTTTTCGAGGCTCATATGTATATGAACCCATTCCTTGCAAGGCATTGACATATTCTACCAAGCCTTCCTTCTCATCCTCATCATGATTCAATAACACAGCTTCCAATGGGTCTTCAACACTCATCACATCACTTATGTGATCAACAATTACTCCGGTCACAAGATCCACAAACGAACACACTTCGATGCTATTAGACTGTCTCATTGACTAGCAAACATGGAAGACGACTTTTTCATCGCCCACCCGGAAGGTGAGTTCCCCAAATTCCACATCAACTAAGGCCTTCCCTGTAGCTAGGAAAGGTCTCCCCAATGTGATTGGAACCTCGTAGTCAACCTTATAGTCAAGTATCACAAAATCTGCGGGACGTATGAACTTGTCGACCCGAACTAGCACATCATCAATTATCCCCAATGGCCTCTTCATTTTCCAGTCCGCCATTTGCAACTTCATGGATGTGGGCCTTTGTTGCCTAATCCCCAATGTCCTGAACACAGAATAGGGCATCAAGTTAATGCTTGCCCCTAAGTCACACAAAGCTTTGGCAAAATCGGCACTACCAGTAGTGCATGGGATTGTAAAGGCACCAGGGTCTTCTAACTTTGGAGCCATAGAGTGAAAAATGGAACTCACTTGATGTGTCATTTTGATCGTTTCACAGTTCATTGATCTCTTCTTTATTACCAAGTCCTTCATGAACTTGGCATATCCCGACATTTGTTCTAACGCTTCAACCAATGGAACATTTATGGACAAACTTTTCATCATATCAATGATTTTATTGAATTGATTCTCATTGTTTGGCTTTGCAAGCCTTGAGGATATGGTGGAGGAGGCCTTGGAAAAGGAGCCTTGGCTTTGGGAACTACCGGATCCGGTATGTCTATCACATGTCCCCTAGACGGGTTCAAATCATCTTGTGTCTCCTCCACATTTTCATCAATGTCTATACTCACTTCATCATTCATTGGAACCTCATTGCTTGGCTCATCATCATCTTGCATCACCACATCATCATTCACAATCTTTCTTGTGGTTGAGGTACTAGCAACTCCACCTCTCCCAATTCTTGTAGTTACCGCCATAGCATGCCCATATTGTTCCCGCCATTCGGGTTTACTACTGTATCACTTGGTAGCGCCCCATTAGGGCGAGTATTCAAAGCTTGAGAAATTTGGCCAAGTTGGACTTCCAAGTTGCGGATAGAAGTGTTGTAGAAGGCTAATTGGGCATCGGAGTCGGCATTTTTCTTCATCATTGCTCGAACATGGTTTCAATCTGTCCCATCTCATTGTTGGAAGAACTAGGACCTTGTAACAGATATGGAGGTGGGTTGTTCGGTTGTTGAAACATCGGGAGCCTTTGGAAACCCGACCCCCGATTTCCTTGATTATTATTGTTCCAACCCCCTTGATTGTTGTTTCCTCCCCAATTACTATTATTGTTGCCACCCCAATTGCCTTGATTTCATTTATTACCCCAATTTTGATTGTTGTTGTTTCCCCAATTGCCTTGGTTGAAGTTGTTGCCACTATTCCAATTTCCTTGTTGACCGTGATTGCCCCAATTTCCTTCGTTTCCCTGTGATCTCCACTGTTGTTGATTCGGAGCATTTCCCCGTTGACCTTGATAATTGTTCACATATTGAACCTCTTCACTTTGATCATCATATGAATCATCTTGATTGTACCCACTACCACTTTGCTCAAATTGTTTTGAACTTATTGACCTCGTTGCCGTCTCTTGTTGACCATCATGTTCACTCCTTCCATGACATTCACTTGTTTTGGCCCTTGAACGTTGAAGCTGAGCTTTGGCCAATTGGTTCATGGTAGTTGTCAACTCGGCTATAGCTTGCCCGTGGTCATGTAGCTCCTTGTGTACGTAAATAACATTAGGGTCACCTTGTGGCACATTGGCTCTACTTTGCCACGCCGAAGAGGTATCCACCATCTCATCAAGTCTTTCACATGCTTCGGCATATGGCGTGTTCATGAAGTTCCCCCCGGCGAGTTAGTTAACCACACATTGGTTTGTTGTGTTGATTCCCCGATAGAATGTTTGTTGGATCATGGCTTTGGTCATTTCATTATTCAGACATTCTTTAACCATGGTCCGGTACCTCTCCCAAATCTCATGTAACGTTTCATTTGGCTCTTGTTTAAAAGCAAGGATCTCATCTCTTAGCATTGCCATATGTCCCGGAGAAAAGAACTTTGCAATGAACTTCTCGGCCAACTCATCCCAAGTGTGTATGGAATGGTTTGGTAACCTCTCTAGCCAATCCAAAGCCTTCCCCCTTAGATAAAATGGGAAGAGCCTTAACCTCAGTGCGTCCTCAAAAATGTTGGTTTGCTTGCTCCCCAAGCACGTGTCAACAAAACCTTTGAGATGCTTGTAGGTTTTTTGGTGTGGAGCTCCTATGAAGAAACCCCTCTGTTCCAATAGTGTAAGCATGACATTGGTTATTTGGAAGTTGCCCGCCCTAATCTAGGGTGGGACTATTGCACTCACATAGCGTTCATTGGGCAACACCCGGTGTGCTGCTCTTGGAGGAGGTGGGCGAGGGTATGGGATATTGTCATGAGGCGGTCGGCCTCGCTTGTGTAATTGAGGTTTGGGTTGAATCTCATCCACTTGCTCATCATCTACCTCCTCCCCCAATGGCAAATTCCCGAGGGTTTCGTTGTTAAGACCCATTTGGTACCTAAAAGCAATTCACACTCAAAATTAGAAAAGCCGAAGGAAAGAAAAATAAAACACACAAATACTTAGATATATAGCTAAAATCGTCTAACTCCCCGGCAATGGCGCCAAAAATTGATCGGGTCCAAGCCTACACTACTATTGAGTAGAGAGGGTGGTCGATGCAGTTTTAACCCAACTAGGTCGGGATCGAATCTACAGGGAGTTAATAATTAGAATTAGGTTTATATCTAAGCTAAATGTGGGCTTTGAGTCTAATTACACGTCCACAAATGTTTGGTTTTATTTCTACTTCTAACTTTACTCTAAAGATTGCAATAATTGAAACTAAGGATAATATTTTTATTGGTTTTTTCAAGTGTTAAAAAGGACTAGGGTCGTGACTTCCACCTAAGTGGATATCTAATGGGTAGCAAGAATCTGGGGCAAGCTCATGATTAGTTGGGATTGTAATATAGCTATCACACCCGGGTACTCACTCTATACCTCTTAGTAGTTTGAGTGATTTTGCCTAATTTGGCTTTCTCAAGTCCTATAACCTTTCACCAAGTCTCACAAGAAGTAAGACAGCTGGAAAGGCCACAGCTCTACCAAACCCCAAAACCCCTTCATTGTTTAAATGATTAGTACACTCACATGGAATGTGAGAGGTATTAGAACCTCTTGAGCCATTGAGAGACTCAAAACATTGAAACAAATCCACAAAATTTCATTCATTGATGTGCTTGAACAATTTCTTGACACCTCCCATATTAACCACTACAAAATCCAAATGAACATGCAACATGCTGTTTCAAACATCAACAACAAAATCTGGATCTTCTGGGATCAAGATTTCACTGGTACTATCCTTGATCAGGATGAGCAACAAATCACAGTAGAGTTGAGACATGTTGAGGCTGCTGAAACCATTCTGCTCACCATCATCTATGCCAAGTGCAAACCAGGGTTAAGGAAACCACTCTGGGATTACCTGAGAACCAGAGCAGCATCTTCTAATTCCCCATGGTGTGTATTTAGAGATTTTAATGTCATAGCCTCCATTGAAGAGAAGATAGGTGGCATCCCCTATCAAGTCAATAAAAGTGTGGATTTTTTGAGCATGATTGAAGACTGTGGTCTTACAGATTTAGGATTCTATGGTTCTATATACACATGGTCTAATGGAAGAGGTCCTTGTTCTATAGTCTGGAAGAGACTAGATAGGGGAATGGTCAATGACAACTGGATAGCTTCTTATCCTGCTACTACCATCACTCACCTGGCTTCTACAGGATCAGATCACTCACCCCTGCTCATGGAAATGCATGTCAGGCCTGATAATGAAACTAGATACTTCAAATTTTTGAACTGCTGGACTGAAAATCAATCATTTCTGCCTTTGGTTCAACAAGTTTGGATGATGCAAGTTTGTGGCAATCCAACGTGGATTTTTCACCAGAAAATTAAAGCCTTGTGTTCTGCCATCTCCAAATGGTCTAGGCAAGAGTATAGTGATATCTTCCACAAAGCAAAAGAATTTGAAGAGAAAGCTAGAAAAGCTGAGGAAATCTGGGCTCAATCTAATAGAGAGGAAGACAGAGAAATTGCTCTTGAGCTCAATGCCAAATATGTTCAATTCCTGAAAACTGAAGAAGCAGTTTTAAAGCAAAAAACTCAGCTACAATGGTTTAAGGATGGTGATGCTAATTCCAAGTACTTCCACAGTTTAATCAGAGGAAGAAGGAGAAAGCTCTACATCCATAAAATCAAAGATGAAGATGGGGACTAGATTCAAGGTGATGAGGCAATTGGTGAGGCAGCCTGTGCTCATTTTCAAAGTCTTTTTTCTGATCTAGGAGGCACAATAAGAGAAGACCTGTTGTCCTGTATTCCACACATGATTACAGGGGAGGATAATGATAGTTTCAACAAGGATCCTACTATGGAAGAACTTAAGAACATTGTTTTCTCCATGAATCCTGTTAGTGCAGCTGCACCTGATGGTCTTAATGGAAAATTTTTCCAACACTGCTGGGAGATAATCAAAAATGATCTATTCAATGTGGTCAATGCATTTTTCTGTGGCCACCCCATGCCTAAATTCATGACTCAAGCCTGTTTGGTCTTACTTCCCAAAGTTGAATTTCCAAACAACCTATCAGAATTCAGACCCATAAGCCTGAGCAACTTCCTTAACAAAATTATCTCCAAAATCCTCTGTTCCAGAATAGCTCCAATTCTCCCCAGAATCATTACCCCCAACCAAACTGGCTTTGTCAAAGGTAGAAGTATTTCGGAAAACATCATGTTGGCACAGGAGATTGTCCAGGGGATTAAAAAGCCTAATGTAGGGGCCAATGTGGTGATCAAATTGGATATGGAAAAGGCTTATGATAGAGTATCATGGTCTTTCAACTGTATCAGGATGAGGAGAATGGGTTTCAGTGAGAAGATCATTGATATGGTGAGGAGAACTATGTCCAACAACTAGTATTCTGTGATTGTCAATGGCACAAGATGTGGTTTTTTCCATTCTACAAGAGGGCTCAAGCAAGGTGACCCTTTGTCCCCATCTCTGTTAATTTTGGGAGCTGAATTGCTATCAAGGATGCTGAATAACCTCTCTCATGATCAGTTCTTCAATGGATTCAATATGGAAAAGAGAGGTCCTCAAGTAACACATCTATGCTTTGCAGATGATGTGATCATCTTTACCTTAGGATGCAGAACTTCTTTGATGAAAATTATGGCTATTCTTCAAGATTATGAGCAGGCATATGGCCAACAGATCAACAAAAACAAGAGCCACTTCATGATTGCTTCCTCTATTTTCAACTACACCAATAGAAGAATTCAGCAACTCAAAGGTTTCTCTAGAAAGGGCTCTCCTATCACCTATTTGGGTTGTCCTCTCTACACTGGTAGGAAAAGAATTGTCCACTTTAATTCACTGATTTCCAAGGTGGTCAGTAGGATTAGAGGCTGGCATGGTAGACTCTTATCATATGGAGGCAGGGTGACTCTGATTAAACATGTCCTGCAGTCTCTTCCAATTCACCTGCTGTCTGCAGTTTCCCCTCCTAAAACTGTCCTCAGAAAAATTGAAAAACTTGCTGCTAACTTTTTTTGGGGAATGGAAAAGGACAAAAATAAATATCACTGGGCTTCATGGCAAAAACTATGCCACACAAAGGAGGAAGGGGGCATAGGTTTGAGATCTATTGAGGATGTTTGCAGGGCAATGGAGTACAAACAATGGTGGTTGTTTAGAACCAAGGAAACCTTATGGGGGGATTTCCTCATGGCCAAATATTGCAAAAGATCCCACCCCATATCCAAAAAGTGGGATTCTGGGCAATCACAAACATGGAAGAGAATGATGATCAATAAGAAGGAAGCTGAAAACCACATTCAATGGAGACTTCATTCTGGCAATTCAAGATTCTGGTGGGATAACTGGTTAGGTACAGGGCACCTTGCTAAATTCATAAATGGGGGGGAGGGGAGGGGGTAGACCTGGTAAGGCTAAGGTTTCACAGTTCTGGTGTAATGCCAATGGGATGTGCAGAAACTTAACCAATCAGTTCCCCTTCACATGCTTCCCCACATTCTACAAACAAAGATACACCACAACCCTCATCTTCCTGATAAACCAATATGGAACCACTCCAATTCACGAACATTCTCTATTTCTTATGCCTGGTCCCTTATTAAACAGAAGAAGCCAATTTTCCTATCAACAAAATGACCTGGCACAGACATATCCCCTTCAAGTGGTCCATCTGCTTATGGAGGGCTCTAAGGAATAAATTTCCTACTGATGACAGAACAGACAGATTTGGTCCTCTAAGTGTTAACAGGTGTGTTTGTTGTATTAAACCTGGTGCTGAATCCATTGATCACATTTTTAGCACTGGTTATTTTGCAAGAGTCATATGGAAAGATTTTAATGGCCCAGTTGGTATCCACAGTTCCAGCCAGCCTTTAAGAATCACCTTCATGAATTGGTGGTTACTGAAAAGGAACAATGCAGTGCAGAAACTGCTTCTTGACACCTTGCCAATTATCATTTGCTGGAATTTGTGGAAGAACAGGTGTGCTGCCAAATATGGAGGAAAGACATCAACCATTACCAAAACCCTCTACTCTATCACTTCAGATGTGATACTTCTGCTCACATCTACCCAACCGAACACAAAATGGCCTTCTAATTGGGAAGAGATTTACCATGCTGTTGAGAACTTGAAGCATCTCACAGAGGTGCAATAGGTAGTCTGGTCTAAACCATCACTTGACTATGTCAAGATCAACTCAGATGGGAGTGCCTTGATAAATCCTGGGAAAATTGGAGCAGGAATCATCATAAGGGACCACCAGGGTCATTTCATCTATGCCATAGCAAGCCCATTAGGAGAAGGTACTAATAACAAAGCAGAAACACAGGCTGCCTACCTTGGCATCAAATGGTCTATTGAAAATGTCTTCTCCAAGATCCACCTGGAAGCTGACTCAAAACTCCTCATTCTCTGGTTGACTACCAACTCTGATCCTCCATGGTCCTTGGATATGCTTCTCCAGAAAACTAAATCTCTAAGTCAACAATGTGAGGACATCATCTACTCATATGTTTTCAGAGAAGCCAATTACCCTGCAGATTCATTATCCAAAATCAGTCATGACCTCACCTCTATAACACATTACAACACCTCCATGGAGCTACCATCACACATCAGAGGGCAGGTTATTCTTGATCAACAAGGCACACCTGCATTCAGACACAAAAAGACCAGCAGGGTCATCTTTCTACCTCAGCTTCTCACTGATAACTCTAATGTCCATGGTACACACTGATAAGCACAGAGGGGACCTTTCAGTAGCTCAAAGCATCATAGAACATGGAAGCGCAAATACCTGGAAAACCACCCACTCAAGGAGCTGTTCTGGCAACATCTCTTCACTAATTTTATTTGCTTTTTTGCAGGTTTTTCTCTTCTATGAATTACTCATATCCTTGATACAGTTTCAGGGTGTGGTATTAGCTATTCTGCTCATTCTCCTGAAACTACATCAAAGATTGGAGTAAGATATAGAGAGAAGGAAGGCAACTCCCATAGTAGTATGAAGAGCACACATTCATGCAATTTCTGTGTGCTCAAGCTGAGCAGCATATGGGAAAATGACCAGTGGTCTGCAACAAAAAGAGGCACACACACACACACACCTCCACACAATAACACCCAAATCCCACCTCCCACACCACTGCAGACCACCTGACAATATAGTCATGCAATTTCCGTGTGCTCAAGCTGACCAGCATATGGGAAAATGACCAGTGGTCTGCAACAAAAAGAGGCACACACACACACCTCCACACAATAACACCCAAATTCCACCTCCCACACCACTGCAGACCACCTGACAACCATCTCCAACAACCTCAGTCACCTTTTTCCATTGACATCCAACCCCATTATCCTATCAGATCTCCTAGAACCCACAAGAATTTAGGAGCAATCACTTCCAGATGGGTGATCATCATTATACCACCATATGAAATCCTTAGAAAAAATAGAACAAAAGAACCAAGGAGAAATGCTGAATTTTTCTCTAACTTTGTTTTCTTTTTTGCAGGTACTTCTTCAGGTAGCCAACTGATAAGATTCCTGGGAGTGGTATTAGAATCTATGATGCTCAACCTCCTAGATTTAACTCAGTAGGCACTAAATCCCCCCAACAGAAGAAACACCACCCAGGGACATAAGGGAATAGGAGCTGGAAATATAGAAAATTATACCACCTGCAGCAACAATACCCCTTTTCCCTCTTCTGTCACCCAGATGATATGGTTTCTAGCAGTGAGATTAACCCCCATAGTGTTCACTCTCCTAAACTCATATCACCTGACACACCACCAACAACAAGGTATCCAAAAGTGTAAAAGCATCTCACAGGAGCAGCAGAAATTGTAGAAAGCATCAGTCTCACACTCTGAAACTGTAGCTTATGCAGGAAACCTTCAATCAATTCCTGTAGCTTGTACCAACTCAACCCAAGTCCAATTCCACAACATGAGCAATACCAATACAGTTGATTGCAGCCCACACAAGAACCTGCAATCAACTGTATTCCATAAATCAGGGATCCTCAATGCTCCCCTGCCCCCAGACTCATCTCCAGTTGACACAAGAACCTGGAGATTGAGCTCCCTTTCACTAACATGTTTGCTGTTTTTTGCAGGTTTTCAAAGTACACTTGGACAATTTAGGTGCTTTCAGTTAGTGGTATTAGTTTCTATGAAACTCATTCTGCTAAAAGTACTTAAAATGTTCCAAAACTCTCAAATCAGTTCCAGCCCTGTTCCAATCAATTTCACTCCTGGAATGCCATCAGTTCCTATACTGTTCAGTCAATAACAGTCCCAACTGTGTTGTTTCATGCTTCCACCAACCAATCACCTGCTGGAGCCCATCTGCTCCTTTGAGTTCCTAAAGCAGCCACACTCACAGCACCTTCACCAGCATGTAGAAATCAGGATTATTGGAGCAGTACAGCCAAGGAAGTGCTCCCTCTCCTCTGTCACAAACTACAGGCAGCAACAAGTTTTCTGCCAATTTTTTTGGGCCCCTTTTGCATCATATCTTCATGCTTGCTTTCTTTGATTCTAATGTCAAAGCAAGGTTGAAGATAAATCCCCTCATTATCACTTTGGTTTGTCTAACATCATAGGGTACACTCACTCTCTAGTTAGAAATAGAGTTTGTTATATATGGAAGAATATCTTCCAACTCCATCTTTTAGTAGAATTAGGATCTCATGTGCAATTTTGTATAGTTGACCTAGGCCTACTACTCTTGTATTTTGTATTTCCAATTGTCTATCAATGTTGGATAGACAATTGGATCAACATTATAGGTCTAAACCTTCATAGTGTTCAGATGTCAGTTGGTTACCATATGTGGTTAACCAAATGCATTTTCATCTTATGTGTGGAGGTAAGGTACAGGTCCCCCTCCACTTTTATTTTACTATGTTTTATATTTATGAAAATCAGCCCTAGGCACAATGCCTAGTGGATTTAGTTAAAAAAAGTCCAAATGGGTATTCATGCAATTCAAGTGATATTAGCTCAAGTAAAGTATTACTATCTCTAGGTTAACCCCTTTAATTGGGGCTATCAATTTCTTGAGTTCACCCCAATTCCTTGTTAGCCTAGTTTTCCTAGACTTAATCCCTCTTTCTCAAGTAGAGACTAAGTCATAAAGGCATGAATCAGTGTTTGCAACCACTAAATCTATAGTTCTAGCAGGAACTAGGCTAAATATCACTAACCCATACCCATTCAAGCCCTAAAATCAAATACCCATCAAATACCCACACTATGGTTGGGTCACAACCCTAGCTATGGGTTTTGCTACTTATGGAAATAACAGAAATTAATGATGAAAAGAAGATAAAATTCATAATACTAGATTAAAAGATGAAAATCTAATGTTGAGAGATAATTCTAGTACAAAATTGCCCAAAATGGAATATACAATTGTTTCATGTGCTCTGCTAATACATAACATGACCTAAAAATATCAAAAAGATCCATTTATACTAAGCTGAAATTTTCGAACAAAAATACCCCGGCGGAGGTTGTGCGGCAGCATAATTCTAACCGCGACCGCATTCTTGCTTTCGCGGTCGCGTAACTCTGATCGTGGTCCGTGCTCTTCAAATCTGGATCTGGGTTGAGCTGATTTTCACGGAGCGCATAATTTCAATTGCAACCGCGTAAGGGACTTCCACAGCTGCACAATTCTGACGCGGACCGCACTTCTTTCTTTTGCTCAAGTTGTAAGCTCTCTGAACTTCATGCAGTGCGGTCCGCATAATTTCCATCGTGGCCGCAGAGAGACCTTCGCGGCTGCACATTTCTGGTGCGGTCCGTGCTTATCATTTAGCCTGAAAATGCAACTCTCTAAACCTCCCTTTCGTGGATCGCATATTTCTGATCGCGGCCGCGTTGTGGCTTTCGTGACCGCACAATATTTGTGCGGTCCGTGTTTTAAATCTCTTGGCCCAATCTTGGTTTTTCTTCAAGCTTTGACTCCTTTGTGAGTGGATTATGATTCCTTTGACTCATTTTGAACAATTCCTGCAAGCAAGCATATTACATTAGTTTTCAGGAATACCTTCACGCATTTTGGCCCAAAAAACAAGTAAAAGAGAGTAATTAATGGGTTTAAATCCCTACTTATCAGGTGGTGCAATTGAGCTTTGATCAGAGTGGATGACTCTCGAGAAGGTTCTAATGGATTCAAGATTTATGCGTGGCAATTGAGAATTTTTTGGATTTGTATATGGCTAGAATCTTAAATTTACATTAGATGGTGTCGAGACTCGTGGTATTTCTATATCATTATAGATTATAATTTCAGTATCAGGAAGGTGAAGGAAACGACTTTAGATTCACATAAGGTCTCTTCAGAGTGGGTGTCTTGGTTGTGGTACTTTTGGGGTGCAAAGCCAGCCGACAAAAGCAAGAACCAACCTCCCCCCATAAAACTTACAACTTTTCTTTGGATGCAGGTACATTTTGACGTAACGATAACACCCGCAAACATATATACACAAAGCAAATTCACTGTCCAACCGGCCATCGGACACCGAATATACGTCCCCAGCTATGAAATACACTATTCTTACCTGCCTCCATATTTGCATGAGTCTAATCCCTGACTCCATATTTGCATGAGGCTAATCCTTGCCTCCATACTTGAATGAGGCTAATCCTTGACTCCATACTTGCATGAGGCTAATCCTTGCCTCCATATCTGCATGAGTCTAATCCTTGACTCCATGAGGCTAATCCTTGCCTCCCCATATCTACATGAGTCCAATTCTTGACTCAATGAGGCTAATCCTTGCCTCCCCATTTGCACGAGTCTAATCCCTGACTCCATATTTGCATAAGGCTAATCCTTGCCTCTATACTTGCATGAGGCTAATCCTTGCCTCCATGCTTGCATGAGGCTAATCCTTGCCTCCATATCTGCATGAGTCTAATCCTTGACTCCATGAGGCTAATACTTGCCTCCCCATATTCGCATGAGGTTAATCCTTGCCTCCCCACTTGCATGAGTCTAATCCCTGACTCCCTACTTGCATGAGGCTAATCCTTGCCTCCATACTTGCATGAGTCTAATCCCTGACTCCACATTTGCATGAGGCTAATCCTCGCCTCCCTATTTGCATGAGGCTAATCCTTGCCTCCATACCTGCATGAGAATAATCCTTGCCTCCATATTTGCATGAGGCTAATCCTTGCCTCAACATTTGCATAGGACTAAGCATTGTCTCTCCTTACCTAAATATTGCTCGGTCCAAGTACTATCTATTTTCTTTTCTATCGGGCTAAACTCTGCCCTTCATTTCACAAGACTAAGCCTTGTCTTGTTGACATCATATTATTGCATATCATGGACTGAAATATCGCCAATCTATCCGAAGGCGTCATAGTCTAAAGGCACCATCCTCATAGCCGGAAGACACCATCCTGGCTTGAGGATCTCTCGAACTTGCATATCATTATTCAAAGGCGTCATGGTTTGGAGGCACCATTTTCATGGCCCGAGAACACCATTTCATGGCCTGCGAATCCCTCACTAAACAATTCATGGCCCAGGACATCATGGTCCAAGGACGTCATCTTTAATAGTCCGAAGACAACGTTCATGGTCCAAAGGGAATCTGCATCATGTTTAAATTTTTGCAAATATGTTTGTAGCGTCTTTTATGTGCAGGTAACTAGTAAGAAACCGCTATCCTAGCAGGAGCAATCTCGCTCCAGTTCTCTCCAACTGTCCCAATCTTTAACCACTCGCCATAACCGCTTGCGCATCGCGTGTCCGTTCTTGCAGTAGTTTTATCGGCATACTTCGCGAATGAATCCAGAACTACACATGGCCTGATTCCTATACAACCTGGGATATGTAGGCAACTCCAAAACCGGAGTCCAGTCTCTGTCTTTCAAAACATCCCGTCCGGTCAAAATTGGCCATCATTTCTTTACCCGAAAACTCTTTCATCCTTCTCGGGTAAAGAGGGGCAGCTGTTGATACTCAATTTTTTCCTATATATTTTAAATAGGCATAAATAACTTTAAAATAGCATATTTATGCATATATAAGCATGCACAACGGTTTTACAATTTTTCTATAATATTTAAAGATTTTAAATTAATTTATTTCCTTCCATTTTACTCATAAAATCCCGAATAATTATCCCCCAAATTATTGTTATGGTAATTTAGTCATTTAATTTCTATACTTATGCCAAAATATGGTTAATATAATTTTTATGCATTTTTATAATTTCATTTAGTATTGTTTAAGTTAAATTGCATATAATTGCAATATTAGCCCATTTAATGTATAATTATATTTTATATGCGTAAAATTGGTCCCCATATTTTTATAGTGTTAAATCATTTTGGTACATAAAATTATTTTTCAGAAATTATTTATTATTTATTATAAATTAAATAGGGGAAAAGTGGCTATTTAAATTATTGCCAGATTGGCATTTCAATTACAGCCAAAATTGGACCCAACCCCAACCCAATTTCTTATTAAAATACCCGACCCAGACCATATATACACT